GACTTTATTAAACATAATAAAATGGCAATAACAAAACATTCCTACCGGTTGTGATCCAGGAACCATTTCATGTTAAATTGATTTCAGAATAATGTCGACACTTGATAGTATTACAATTACTAGATACTTATATAATCTGATATTTTGTCTTCAAATAGTATTAAACCTGAATCAGTGGTGCTATTACAGTACAAAAATCTATAGTTCATAAAGGCACCCTTATTAGGTTACCATATATAAAAGTGATGTATGGACAAAATATAATATAATATAATGCTCTATGTATTAACTTCTCCACACCTTGGTAGAACAAATATTTAACTATAAATATCTAGGCATGTCATCTTATATACAGGAACAGGTTAAGGAATAAAGAAGTCATCCACATAGAGCATAATAAACTGAAAACATAATACTCATTTGCGTAATTCTAATTCATTATGAAACACCTAATCCAGCAATTTCAAACTATATCAAATTAATATTCACTTAAATTATATTTTACACAATAATATTTGGTGTACAGAATTATCCATATAAAGTACTATTGCTAGCTACTAAAATAATAAGTCAACAACTGCAATAATATTCAAATATTTAGAAGTATATCTTAATAAATACATTACAACCTCCAAAATGGTTTCTTCTCTACTTTATTTATCTACAAGATTTGAAATAAGGTGGGTCTTATTAGGCGCCTGTACCATATAACATTACAGTCATAAAACCAAGGCGTTATACATTTCAAATAATTTGATAGTAAAAAGAGTTTTAAGTAAGTCCAAAATGTCTACCTATTTCAATTTTCCACGTGAAATTTCCAATCTCTCCGGTTATTCAATGATGTGATCTTGCTGACGGTAGAGTATAAAGCTGTCCTTGCAACCTACATTTTTCGTGCATTGAGGCTTCACAAGGACGACTTATATGTAACGTATTACGTGTACCTTTTCAATTGAACTACATCTTGAAGACACTGATATACCTCTGCTTACATACAAGGAGGTTGAAAAAATGGCGGACGTAGTTTCTTAGTTTGATGTTTCAATAATTTCTAAGTAATATTACGTCCGCCTGCCTTATATGACTGCCTCGTTGGCCGAGTGGTCGAAAGTGCGACTGCCGGGCAAGGGGTATCGGGTTCGAGATCCGGGTCGGGCAAAGTATTAATGGGTTTTTAAAAAATTCTCAGTAGTAGCACGGAGTCTGGAATTGTGCCCGGACTCATAACATAAATCGTGAAAAGTGGGTGTTACATTGTACAGTGGTATAATGTGCACCTCTGCCTACCCCTTCGGAGATAAAAGGCGTGATGTTATGTTATGTTATTACGTCCGCATATTTTTCAACGCCCTTGCTTACATAATGATCGTAAGATTTTCTCATTTCATGACACGGTTGAGAAAAAAATCCATGGTATTTGCTATGATCCCGTAAGTGATATTTGGAAAAATTTAGCTTGATAGTTGATCCCTTGCTTCCTTAGAATACTCTTAGCTCTCTAAACAATGGAACATTTCATGGGAGCCTTGAAATGTACCACACTATAACAAAACAATGAATGCAAGAAATAATTGAAAATATTCTCATTATTTTCAACTAAAACATCTTTTAAAACTCTCATCTCAACAATACAATAGATGCAGGAGCTAGCATACAGGGTGACAATATTAAAACGATAATTCAAACCGAACATTCGAGAATAGAAAATGTCATACATTTCATCCGGCGCTGTCTCAGCCGTGAGCTCGACTTCATCGCAATAGCAGATCGTTAGGAAGCGCGGATGTCAGCTCAGCGCATTTTAACAAGTGTACACTTTTCTATAAGATTTCGATTCAATTTAATATCGAAAGGAAAAAGGAAAAAGCATTAAATTCGATAGTAGATACATAAATTATTGATATTGTTGATGTTGGCATTTTTACATAAGTATTCGAGTTTAAATATCAGCTTGTATAAGATGCTCAAGTTCATTGAATTGTTGTGAAACTAGTGAAGCGTGATGAAATTTCTTCTCGTTCCGGTTAAACTTATTAAGTCAGCTACTAGCATCTTCGGATTTCCTTTGTTTTCCAAGTCGAACAAATATGATTAATATCATCGTTGCGGAATTTTCATTTCCCGATTCGGTTTTGTTTTCCGGTCACAGTTGTTGGTCGGTTTCTTTATTCGGAATGTCCGCACGGATGGATTTATTTTGTAAATTAGATGGCGTCATTACATTCCTTTTCAATGCGCAATGTCTAAAGTGGTCGTCTTTATAAATTGACTCTGAGTGTAAAATTATGCGCATAATAAGATCTCCTTGATTTCTTTAATAAATGTAATGCTCTTACTTTTACCTGAGTGTAGGAAGTGTATTATTAACAGATCATTTCAAAAAATGTCTTCCCACCACCTCATACAATTTAATTAACGAAATCTAAGGCAACCGCATCAGAACAAACGCACCCAGTTAATATAATTTAATATCTATTTCATAAACATGAGACGTCTTGGTCGGTGATCCCAACTAATCCCAAGAACGTGCAACAATGGGACCCTGGCCTCACTATCAAAACTTGTGGCTCCCTGTACATACATATATAAACACATATATACACTAATAATATATTGTTTCTGGTACGTCACTTCAAGCTATGTAATCCAGTTTTCCTTGGTCTCGTTTTGTATCATCTTTTCAAATGTTGAAAGGTCAGTTTATACTGGTTTGCCTAGCTTAATGTGTACCCATTGGTATGTTTATAATTATTATATTGCACTAGATTTTCCCGATGGTATTGTCCTATCATCGTTCTAAGATTAACTATTACACAGTCATTCAATATGATTTGTATAAATACTTTACTAGACTCTAGACTGCCTCGGTGGCTGAGTGGTCGCAAGTGCGACTTTCAGGCAAGGGGTCTCGGGTTCGATTCCCGGGTATTAATCCCAGGTAATGATCCCGGCAATGTATTACTGGGCTTAAAAAAAAATCTTAGTAGTAGCACGGAGTCTGGAAATGTGCCCAGTAATGTGACTCATAACATTAGTAGTGAAATGTGGGTGCACCCTGTGTGCACCTCTGCCTACCCCTTCGGGGATAAAAGGCGTGATGTTATGTTATGCAGACTGTAGAGACAAATAAACGGAAAAAGAATTCTACTCCTTAACTCGTCGAGTACCGGTTTTGTAGTACACAATTATAGAACAATAGGTTGCGGTCACCGGTGACCGCTTGGTGTTTGACAGTTTAAGCTAAACTCCACGTCCCATACGGTTTCCGAAATTCAATATTTTGGTAGCTGCCGTATCTCAATAAAAAAAAACAGACATTTAATACCATATTTTTTAGGTCTATTTATATCTATTTTTAATATAGGATATACGACTTCAGGTGAGTCCAAAGTTGTGTGCCTATATTATATGTAGTAAACCGTTTCCCTCAATTGACCTTTAAGGTGGAGTGAACTGACATTTGAAGATGAGTAGCAAGTCAGTTAGTGGTGTTTATATAACCTTAGTATAACGAGAATATAAAACGCCTAGGAAGATAATTAATTCAATCATTTTGCTCAATTAAAATCGATACTTGAAAAAACATAAAGTGGATTTTGCCGTAGGTACAACGCAACGCTGCCAGTCTTCTGGGTACTTTCCCAGTTGACATCCAGGCCGAGAAATTTTTTGATGCTCAATGTAAATAGTTATTTTTAGTTTTCTTTTATATTCTTTGTAAGTCGTTTTTAAATTTTAAATAATATATTAGTAATAAATAAATTAAATAAATAAAAAAATCGGTTTTGTTGCACACACAATTTGTCATAAATATTATCTTATGTACCTTCCCTGGACTTCCAAAAACATTTCAAGACCAAAATTAGCAAAATCGGTTCAGTCGTTCTCAAGTTTCAGCGAGACTAACGAACGGAAATTATTTTTATTTATATAGATGATATACTGTGCTTTTCAAGCACTTAAAACGCGTATCGTACGATGTCATGGTTATAATACATATATTATTTCAAATACCAAAATTGACATAGCTCCATATAATAATTATGATTCCACGGATTTTTTCTTTTAAAAATACATGAGCTGGGCTCTCAAGCGTAATGAGTAGATTAACACCCTCGACGTTTGTACAATGGCTGGCAACACTGACCTACTTTAGCCCGTACATTTTTTAATCTAGCATGTTCGTGAAAGGTAAAGGCAGAGGTTAAAAGCTTTTTCAGGGCCTGAATTAATGCACAGATATTTGGGGACTGTTGAGTGAAATGTGTACTGAAATTGTTCGTTTATTTTCTATTTTTGCAATTACATTTCAAAAAATGAAATTTGTTGGTCAACAGAATCAAAATTGAATTGTTTCATGGAATAGGTGGCAATCGAGCAGACGGATCACCTGATGGTAAGCGATCAGCGCCGCCCATGGACACCCGCAACACCAGAGAAGCCACAGGTGCGTTGCCAGCCTTTTAAAAAGGAATACGCTCTTTTCTTGAAGGTTTGAAGGTCGTATCGGTTCGGAAATACCGCCGTATAATATAATAATAAATAATATGTAACATAGGATATTTCAGTAACTTGCTGGAAGTATATGGATGCAATGCAAGAAATTGTAATTTATTTGTCGACTGCCACACCTAGATACAAATGTATGAATGATGAAAACCTAATATCTCTGCAGTTATTCTTGCAACATTACATAAAACCATAACATGACATAACATAACATCACGCGGTTTATCCCCGAAGGGGTAGGCCGACGTGCTCATTACGGCACTTGATGCTACTGTACAATGTAACACCCACTTTTCACTATTGCCATAAACCGGGCACAAGTCTAGACTCCGTGCTATTACTGGCATTAATTTTTTTTAAATCCAGTAATACTTTGCCCGACTCGGGAATCCAACCTGAGACCCCTTGACCAGCTGTCGCACTTGCGACTTCTCGGCCCACGAGGCATCACATAAAAAACATCGTATTATTTAGATCGTCCCATTGGAAGAATAAAGTGTTATGATCACATGTGTCGAAATTCATATTATGTTAAATTCGTCATCCTTATAATGTAAACTATCGATT